TCCAGCACCTCCCCTGAAGCCTGTCCCATATCCCCAGGCCCCCGCCTAGCCCTGTTGTGAAGGCGGCAAGCTGGCCCTCGAACGTGCATGATTCTCCCTTAACGTGGGTGCCGTTAGCAGCAGTGCAGGGAAGGAGCGGTGTCTTCAGAAGCCCCTGCAGAAGCAGAGGGTCTGGCCAGGAGCGATCTACGGTAGTAATGGTTGCTGCTTCTTCCTTCCCTCTCCCAGAGGCCGTGCTGAGGATGTGGCTGTCTGTTCCTCCCCTGGGGATGCCGTTGACTGCACCCGCCTCACGCTTGCATGGGTTGTCTCTGCTCGGCCTCGCTCTCCTTGCGGCATAGGGGTGAAAAGGAACAGATGGAGCGCTTACTGGCTGTGGACAGAAGCTGCTGCGGCTGAAGCTGGAGAGGCCAGAGAAAGGTAAAGAAGAAGAAATCAAAGGCCATCCAGCCGGCAGCTGCCTCCCACTGCAGGCAAGAGAAAGCCTGCCTCTCTGGGTGAGGAAGGATCCTTCTTCATAGTCCGCAGCAGGTCAGACTGCCAACGTGCGCCGCAGGGTCTGTATGTGTCACCAGCAGCATGGTATGGCCGCGTAGTGCGCGAGCGAGGCTACATGTCTAGGAAGCCTTGTCTTGTAAGAGCTGTAAGAAATCCACGTATTCTCTTAGGTGGAGAACAGCTAAGTGACCGGAGTTACAGAAGAGGAGGGGAGGAGAGCAGGAGAAAGAAACATCTGAACTGGCAAATTCTCCCAGCAGCGCTGAGAGCGAGAGCTGCAGTGAGTCCTGCGTCCTCAGGGCCCTGTCGCCCCTCTTCTGCATCCCGGTCCCTCCCTGCCCCTCCCCTGTCCCCCTCTCTTTTCCCCACTGCTGTGCTCTTTTTTTTTTTCTTCCCGCTGCCTCTCCTCTGTCCTCCTTCCTCCTCCTCTCTCCCTCTCTTTCTCCTGTTCTGTTGCTCCCTTTTCTTTTTCTCTCTGCGCTGTTGTCCTGCTCCCTCTCCCTCCTTTTTTTTCATTTCATCGTCTGTCTCTGTCCTGTAGCCCATTGCTGTTTTTTCCTTTTACGTCTCTTTGTCCTGCTCCCTGTCACTGTTTTTTTCTCACTCACTCTCACTCACTTCTGACCTTTTCTTTCTGACCTTTCTTTCTCTCTCTGCTCCTCGTCTTCTCCCTTGTCTTATTTTTCTCTTTCTAGTTCTCTGTCCTGCTCCCTGTCACTGTTTTTTTCTCACTCACTCTCACTCACTTCTGACCTTTTCTTTCTGACCTTTCTTTCTCTCTCTGCTCCTCGTCTTCTCCCTTGTCTTATTTTTCTCTTTCTAGTTCTCTGTCCTGCTCCCCATCACTGTATTTTCTTTCTTTATTTCTCTGCCCTGCTCCCCATCCCTCTCTCTTTCTCCATACCTCTGTGCTGCTCCCTGTCCCTCGCTCCCTCCCTCCCTCGCTCCCTCCCTCCCTCTCTGTCATTATCCTTGCATCCCTTGTTGTCTCTCCATCCCTCTGTCCTGCTCCCCATCCCTAATTTTCCTTTTCCATTTCTCTGTCCTGCTTTTGGTCCCTGTTTTTCCTCTGGCTTCACCTCCCTGTCATTCTCCCTGTTGCTCTCGCTTGCTCTCTATCCCGATGTCCTGCTCCCCATCCCTGTTTTTCTCTGTATCCCATTTTCTTGTTCCCTGTCCCTCACTTGTTTTCTGTATCCCTCTCTCCTTCCTCCTGTCCTTCCTTCCCCCGCCCCCCTGCCTCTGGCCTGCTGCTTGTCACTGGTTTTTCTTTCTCTTGCTCTCTGTCTGAGTTCTGCCGCTCTCTTTCTCTCTCTGTCCCTCTGTC